GGAAGGAAGGAAGGAAGGAAGGAAGGAAGGAAGGAAGGAAGGAAGGAAGGAAGGAAGGAAGGAAGGAAGGAAGTGGGAGGCTGCCTAGCTTGTGATCTCTCATTGACAGAAGAGCTACAGAATATTAAAACTTTGAGAAACTAAATCAGTGTGTGAGATATGAAACATTTATCAGCAAGGGTTTGGGTGGATGCAAAACACACCTCTTCCAGAGCTTCCCAGAAATGTTCTGTCTTGGCATTCTGGAAATAGTATTTCTTCAAATATGCCTAGAGAGAGATGGAAGACCATGAAAATACTACCAGTGTTTCTTGTTTGCCTGTGAAAACAATACACATATTGAGTTTTACAGGGATACAGAGAGTACCTCTCAGTTGCACAGAGTATCCACACATGGGTGGTAGTACTGTCAGTGGGAGATCAAATGGATCGGTATTCAGCTGATGAAATTCCTTTGCTGTCCAATGCATCCCATAACACCAAAAGCCAGCGTTTTCCAGAGTGACTTGTTAGTAGGAAATAAATTTGTATTTGAAGATTTTTTGGGGTTTTGTTTAAATGGACACCACTCTACCCTGCTGCAAATTTCCGACTAATATAAGAGGCTGTTTAGCAGGAGGAAGATATTTAATGAGATTTCGCTACCTGTGGACTCAGAGTGGAAGCAGGAAACTCTAGTCACCTCCACATTTTGATCAAAACGATTGTTACATGGAGTAATGGTGTTCAGCAAAGAGTTTGCAATGCCTAGACCTTATTCCCATGCTGTGTCTTCCCTGGCTGCTCGGCGGGTGTTTTCCTACCCTGCCACCTGCTCCCGGTGGTGTTCAGTCAGTAGATGGTGCTGTTTGTTTCGCTGTTGGCCGCAGCCGCCTAACTTAGGGTTCCTGAAGGCTCTGAGCAGAAGGAAAGGGTTAGGCTCTTGGAGACAAGGCGGCTGTATTTAACCATCTTGGGTAACTGTTCTGATTGAGTAAGTGAAAGGGGGAATACAGGAAAATACAACTATCTTGTAACAGCCCATGAATGTGCTCTTCATGAGAGAGGGAAATAAGAACAAATGTGGTAAGCCTGCACTGGTAACACTTGTTACCAATGTCTGCTCAGAATAAAGGACAGACAAGTTTTCTCCTTGCAGGTTGGCTCCTTTCTCCCATTTTGTCACTTTGTAGCACCACGTTTTTCCTCCACAAGAAAGGACTATGAACTGTGCAATGTATCTCTTTTCTTCTCCCTATTACCTTCACTTTTTAGGGCTGGGTGTCCCTGCATCAGGCCACGGATGAGCTGATGCCTCTAAGAGTGTCCCTACACGTCAGCCTTGTGTGGGTTGGAGGATCCTGGCCATAGGAAGCCGCAGACACACTTTACAGCAGAATGAGGGGATCCCAGTTGACAGCAAGATAGCAGTGGGGTAGAGGAGGTTTTTCCACTAAAAGCTGTCAGGAATTTAGGTCCTCACTGTCTGGCTACCAAATCTTTATGCAGTTCACATTCCTGCTTCTGTGGGAGCATGGAACTTCTTCCCCTCTATGTTGTCCACTCAGTATTGAAATCCACAATGTACTTTTGCTACCAATACCAGGATCTCTGATATTAATGTTTTGAATAATGGCTTTGCTACTGTCACATAAAGATGGGCTGTGTGTCTGGCAGGTTTTGATGCCACCTTTACCTGACAGCCTTTTTGGAAGAGCTCTGGTGTAATCCAGTCTTGAATCATTCTGAGGATTGATGCACCCTGAGGACAAAGGGAAAGGGGAGAAGGTCAATCCACACTGCTCTAACATGATTTTCATTCATCTAAAAGGCAACATGTGAATGAGTATTTTACAAGGCAAAAGTAGAAATCATCCATCAGACTAAGGAAGTGGTTTTTCTACTTCCTTTGTTTGATAGCATGCCTACCTGGTGGAGCTTAAATCTGGATGTGAGAATCAGTCTTTAGTTGTGATCAGACACTTGTTCCTATGTTCAGCTCCCAAGCCCTGCTGCTGCAGCTTACTATTCTCTACCAGCTTGTGTGAGCAGGGCTCCCTGTTTTGTGTAGAACAGTTCAAGGGTGAGGGCAGCTGAGGACTCCCCCTGTCAGGGGAACAGCCTGAGAGGGGCAGTGACTTTAGATGAACACACAACAGGAAGGGAACTCTAAAAATGCTGCAAGTCTGGGGCTTTACAGGTTGGGTATGCCATCTGAAGATAAGGAATGAGATTTGCTGAGGACTAGTGTAAAAGCTCTGGCCTCTGAAGCAGGGTAGAATCTGACTCAGAGGAGTTACTAATTGGGGCGTCACAGAAAATAACCCAAACAATTAGGACCTTGAAAGAAGAAAGAAACAAAAGGAAGACAGGAGAGAGAAGTAGAAGAGCCATGTGGAACAAAGAACAGAGTGCACACAAGATGATGAAGAAAAAAAAAAGGAGTTCAAACTCCATCTAAGATGGAAAATACAATTTTAGGATTAGCATGTTTTCATTTTCTGAGCTAAATCAAGGGGCAGTTGAGAGCCTAATGCTATGAATAGTTTAAAAATCCAGTTGTCCCATGAAAACAATAATATTATCTGAATTCTCAGTAAATTCTGTTTCCTTTATTTATGTGTCTGAGAATAATGACTAGATGAGTCATGGTAGAGGGACTGCTTGAACAGATATGCCTCAAACTGCTTTCCAGGCTATTGTTGGAGAGTCAAGGTGGTCAGCAGATGACTGTTTTCTGATACAGAAATCTGATGTGTTTGCCATGGAATGTGCTCAAAACCAATTCGGTAACATTTAGAACAGAGATCCATTAGTGGTAATCCTAAAGCTGCTTAATGATCAGTGGTGATCATAAGGCCACGAGTATGCACTAGGGAACCTCAGTTCCTCAGCTTTGTCTCTCAGCCACTTCTTATCTGGTATCACCACTCAGAAACCATCTCCTCCCATTTATATTAAAAGCCAAAGTACAAATACACACTTATACATTATTTGATAACAGTGGAGACTTCTATTGCTTTAAAATGTAATGTATAGTTAGTCACTTGCACCTTCTACTATTATTTTTAAGTCTCTTCCTCTCCCTTGTCATTCCTCTGTAACCATGATGAAGTGTGTTTGAGAAAAACTCATCCTAACAAAAATCACTGATTATAGGAACACCAGTATTTTAGTAACTTCCCTTTCTTACAACTATTTGGGGAGGCTCAGCAAGTGACCTTAATTTGACTAGCTAACATTCTCTGATGGGTGGTATAGGGGGGAGTCTTTTATCAACACCCACATAATTTCATAGTAATTGCCAAGTACGTGGCAAGATTTGTTTGTGGCAGAAATGTGGAAGATTAATCCTAAACTTCTGTAGCTGGGAAGTTCCAAAAATATGAGGGTCCAAGAGCAAATTTCTAACAGAACTTATTTAAGACAAAAAGATCACTGATACTTTAATAAAACCTTTCAAAATAAGAGAGAGGATTAAACTAGGAAAGAGATGAGATGCAAATACTTTTTAAAAACAGATTAAAACAATTATGTACATTAATTGTTTACTCACCAGCTCTACTCTAGTAGAGCTTTCCTAGGCATATAATGCCCTATCAATCCCATAGCAGTTAGAGGATCTCATACAGAATACACTGCAATGACTCCATAGACCCTTAGGCAATTCATTAGGGTTTTAGGATTGGATAAGCTCTCTGGTTGTTCTTGTAAGACTAACAGAGAGCATTTCAAATTATGCTTTATTTGTTTAGCGATGAATATTATCATGAGAAGATGGTTTTTAAAAGAAAAATACAAAAGAGAAGCCAAAACAAAGCCAAAAAGAAACAAGCTAATTTTGTCACACATTTATATATAAATACCAACAGTAATTTGAGCTAAATCTGCGCTAAGACTTTCTCTTTCAAGCCAAATTATAACCCAAGCCAAATTATATCCCAAGCAAACTGTTCCCAAACAATGCACAAGTCCTCAAGTGTTTTTGCTTAAAAAAAATGAGTTCATGTTGTAATTATCTAGGCACAAAGAGATGAGTAAAAGCTAGGATTTTTTTTTCTCCATTGTTTTTACAGACCCTGCAAAAGTATGTATCTTACTTAGCTCACCACTAAAATAGATTTTGATCCAGAGTATTTGATTTAGCTCTGTATATTTCGTGACTTTTGTTAGTTTGATTTAAAAACTGTTACACAATGCAGGTTTTTACATGGTTTATGGTTTGACTGTGAGGCATTTATGATGCAATAAATACCGGTTGTATTGTTGGATAGGGGATTTGACAATTGAAAACAGAAAACTGATGGAAATGGATGGATCAAGTCTAGCTAATAAAAGTAGTATCTATAGTTACAGACTGTAGCACAGCTGAAGCTAAAGTCAATGCAATATATACTGTATGTTTAGCTGATAATGGGAGCTTGGAGGGAAAGCAATAAGCAGTGTTTAATAATGTTGGATTTTGTGTGTTCTGTGGAAGTGTGTTACGGCATCAGAGAGGGAACACTGACAGAGTCATATAAGAAGCTGCCAATAAAATATGGTGTATCAGGTTCAGAAGCAGCATGGGAGATGGCCGGTTGAGGAGAAGAGTGACAGGAGTGTTTTCTTTGGGCTTGTCTCTTGATGCCCTGCAGAAAACAACTGGAGGGAACAGTGTTGTTGGGGCCCTTGAGTCGAGACTTGCCTGGTTAGATATGGGGGGGCACCTGCTTTGTTCCAAGTCTAAGGGCTGTCTAAGGACTAAGTGGCTTTGGCTACATCTGATGTGGAGAGAAAGAAGATGGCCTCAGCCCCCTAAGCTGGGTCTTCAAAGTGATGATCCTCAGCATGGCTGCTGGTGTCCCTCAAGCTCTGTGCTTCACAGCACTGATCTCCAGCCTGCCACCCCACACAGCAAGTACTACCAGAGGCCTTGGGCTCCCAAAAACCTCTGTGTACCCTGGTTACAACAGTGGTTGGATGACTCCAGCATTCCAGTGTCTCTCTGCTCAGGCAGAGGTATCCTTCCAGCTAGCTCCTTAGGGAGTCTTTATGGGCACAGGTCCTCACTGCCGCATGCTGGGATGGGATGAGCAAAAATCTTATCAAATACTTAAAGGAGTGTCTCTACCACTTCCTGGGCTACTGGATTATTGTACTCCAGTGTGCTCCTGAGCTCCACAACTTTCAGTGAAATGTGGAGCTGACTTATCTCCCAATTTAAGCCCATGCCAGTAGAGGCTGATGTAGCCCATCTTTGCTAAGATTGTTTGGGTGGCTGGGATACTGTGAGCAACTTGAGATAAAAAGTCACTTTCCTGTTTTTACTGCTTGGTTCCCTGTCTTGCTTCCTCAAAACAGAAGTTATGAGGGCCTGCAGGTGTGATGGAGAAGTGACAGAAAGGATACATCTGGCCTTGGACATCTGCCCTTGCCTCCTCTACCTTCATGTTAGATTATGAGCCTTGACATAACTGGGCTGCATCAGCACAAGGAGATGGGAGAGGGGTGTGATTAGTACCTTGTTTAGTTTAATTTTAAACCCAGCACTCCAGTGGCAGAGGCCGGTGACACCGTGCTTTGCCTGCATCACTGCATGCTGTGAGCAGGCCTGCATGGTGCACAGTGGCTGACCAGGCTCTGCTGCTCTGCTCCTCTCACAGCTGCCTTTAACTGCATCGCCACTGACTGCAGTTAGGAACGTCCCAGAACAAAGATCTGCACAGACACAGCTCAAGTGACTTGGGAGTCCTGATTATGAGCCTGACTTTTATCTCCTCTCCTTTGCCCCTTCCTTTGCATCCAAAGTCACAACAGAAGGATGTCCTACCTTACTGTAGGATATCCCATCAAACACAGAGGTGATTTCAGCTGGAGATGACACATTGGTTACAATTGGGTGCGAAGAGAGCAAAGAGTCATCCATCAGTACAGGAAGCACATCCTCAATTAAAACCTGTTCAGGCTGAGAAAAAGAAGACATTAGAATGGAAACAAAGGAAGGAGTATATGCCTACTTCTCAAATAAGTAGTTTGAATTTCAACTTCTCTAGGCAATTTAAAATAGAATGAAATTTTATGCCTCTAAAGAAGGACTTGCAAACTCTTGCTTTACATCTGAGAGGGGAGGGATACAATTTCTCCTTAACTAAGAGAAATTGCCTTTTTCAGATCCTGTTTTCCTGTGTGTATGATAACACAGACACACCCATCCCACCTCCCTTGCCCCCAGTAGGGCAAAAAGAGTAGCCTGTGTTACCAATTTCAGAAGTGTGACAATATTTACAAAGCATTGTGGTCTCCTCTTGCAAAAGAGGAGCTGGGTAGGAAGGGAGGGAGGGAAGAAGGAGGCAGGGTTCCCCATCCCAAGGCTTAAATGTTTTTTTAAATTTATTTGAATTTTTTAAAAAAGATTAAGTAGCCAGCAGTTAAAATCCCCTTATTTCCTAATCAATATTGACCAAAAAAAGACTAAAATTCAATTTAGATTTCCTCTTCTAATACTCACTAGGATAGTATTGAAATATCTTAGATTAACATAATATCTAGATAAAAAAAGACTTTTTATTTTAAATTCAGTAATTAGATCTTTTCTTACATAGTTAGGACCATAGATCTTCTACTTTAAAGGGTAAAAATGACCCAGGGAATGATTTTGTTCTTAGCCTCTCTGCAGGGAGAAAGGCAGGTAAAGCAGCAAGTAGGCACTGCCTGCTTCTAAAGTCACTAGGCTCAGGAGATAGTAGATTTTAACAGGTTCAACCTATGCAAAACCTACTCTGCTCCCTTCCACTGGCATGTTGTGTATGTCTTAGCACACAGAACCTCATTACACCTCGACAGCTGGGAAAAATATATGTGTTCTGTGCCGTCACATCTGTTTGGGAGGGAGGAAAAAAGGAGCAAAAAAACTCCCTTTATTCACAGACTATAATGCCTATTTAAGGTCAACTTTGTAACACCCTTAAAGCATCTGGAGCTGACACAGTTAGCACATTGGCTATCCACTGTCACTGCCTATTTTTGCACTGTACAGAACAGAGATTGTCTGAGTTGGAGCATTTGAAAGGACACTTGAAATGCTGGCAGGAGCTGAATGGGAGTCCGCTATTTTCCTTGATAATAGCTCAAGCTGTGGAGACAGGCCCAGGTTCCTAACCCTTACCAGATCACATAGCAATCCTAAGTCCCATGAAGAGAGTACAGCCAGGAAAATCTCCATCTTTCAGAGTTAGACCTTTAAGCAGCCCTGCAAAACTGTTAAGGCTCTGTGCAGAATACACCTAGGTGTTATTTGCCGTAATAACTGAGCCAAATTGACTCACTGGTTAAAAAAGAATGACTCTTCCCTGCAGACTGAAGCTTCACACAGTGTACTTTGACTAGCTTCAGATCATAACATAGGTAGGTGAAAAACGTAGACCAACCATTTCTTTATGTTGCACCACACTATGTTAGTTTTCCATAAATATACTTTAAGTCTTCATCATCCTTGTCTAAATTTTACTCCCTTCCAAAATGTTCCTCCCAGCCCCGCCAACCCTCTACAAGGCAGAAATAATTACCATTTCCCAGTCTGGTTCTGTTGCATTTACTCCCAGGAACTCAAAATAACTGGCAAATCCTTCATTTAGCCACAAGTCATCCCACCAGTCCATGGTCACAATATTTCCAAACCACTACAATTATAAACATAAAGATGTAGGTTTAGAAAAATAGTACATGTACATTTCAGTATCTCCACCTGCATACAGAACATTTATTTGCTTACTTTTCTTACTGCTGCCCGATGAAAATTATCATAATTCTGGGGTTTGAATAGGAATGAAGGCCTTGCTTTGTGTTAAAACATTGCTTTTATTATAAAATTACATATTACTTGGGAGAGTGCTAATGATTCATGTGCCACTGAAAATATTTTTAGTTTCTTCCTCTTGATTTGATGATTTCTGCTTTTAAGGATATGTTTTCAGACACCCTCCACAGTGTATAACTGTTCTTGTTTGCCTGTCCAAAAGAGACATCTGCACAGGTAAATTAGTTTCTCTAAGACATTTTAGACAGATTTTCATAAGCTGGCTGACAGTCTGGGCTCAAGCATCTAACTTCCTGAGAAAAATTCCAAGGCAGTAGTCATGGTATTTTAAAGCTCTTACAGGGATCTGTTATAACATGATATTTTGCAATCAGATTTTGAGCACATGTAGAAGAACCTGAGATGAAGTTAATGACAGTATTTTCAAGATTAAAATGTTGTGACTATATATTTGAAACACTGTAAAAGTGACTCATGTCCTAAAATATACCTGATGAACGAGCTCATGGGCTATCACAGCAGCTACTCTCTGCTTGTTGGATGTGGCTGACTCCGCAGGATCATACAGCAGGTTTGTTTCTCGGTATGTGATCAGCCCCCAGTTCTCCATAGCACCCGTCCCAAAATCTGGAATAGCTATTTTATCTGCATTAAAAGAAAGAGAAAACAATTACCACTGTATCCTTTAAATCAATTAGCTTTTCCTCTCTGTGTGTATTTACAGCCTGTTTTGCTTACCATTTGTGATTCTGGCTTACTACTGTGGACTGCAGGCTATGATCTGTGTTCAAGAAGAGAACTGGCCTAAAGCAAGTGCCCTGGATCTACTGAGATTAAGAGGTAAGATCAGTTGCAGTTGCTGAGGATCTGTCCTAGAAGGTGATGTTATGGCATCTCCTGGGAATGTGCATATCATACATTACTTAATTTTGGCTCTAGAAATTAATACTGCTGTCTGGGGATGTGCTGTAGGCAGTAAACCTCCTGAAACTATTTGTAGAATAATGAGGCATGACATTGTTTGTCACACTGTTGTATTAAAAATATTTGGCACGTTAACTGAAGTAAATCCCCCATGCAGTGAACAACATCTGCTTCTACGCCTGGCAATTTGTGGGGGTCACTCATTTATGGTCAGTAATCAATACTGGTTTAAATGAGAATTGCAGACTCAACTGAACTAGCATTTTCTTCTTCAAATAATGACCACAGGCTTTCTATGTGGGTTAGTGAAAAAGTACAGATGGATTTAAAACAGAATAGAATAAAAATCCCTCACCCCACTCCAACAGAAGATAGGAATTACTTATTTTAAATTAAACAACTTGATTACAGAATCAAGCTGATAGTTTGGCAAGGGCTTCAATGACAGTCAAAAGGATGATACAAGGAGAAAGATAATGACAGAAGCCATAAATCAATGTGAAATACAATATTTAAATAAATCATTATGCAGAAACATATCTGATTCATCAGGTTTGAACTGGATAACTTATAATAGTGAAGGAACAACATGGTAAGTCAAGGTTAGGAATCCAACAAATAGACATACTGGGAAAAACAGTGTAGAATCTACGAAAGTATCTATCCTGTGACACTGCTAACCTGAAGATACCAGTCCATCCTGTCACACAGAAAGGCCTTTGTCCAGATGCTGCCATGGCAAATTCATCAGACTTTCATGACAGTGAAAGTTTGAATATAAAGCACAGGTGAGATATAGTACCTATTATTACTGGGGACCAGTTATGTGAAAGAACAACATATTGTACTGGCTTCCCTAATTCAGTTGTCATTGAAATGCAAACATATTGACAGTAAACTCAGGTGCTGTTTTGAAAGGAGGAGGTAAATGTCTTTTGTTAAAGTAACATAGGTTAGCATGATAGGTACAGGTACAAATAGCCAACAAAAGGTTTGCACAGCATTATTAATTGTCTTCAAAGTTTTGGGGACTCCCCCCCCATATTGTCTTGAGTTGTTTGCAGCTAGTATTTTTCCGTCCTTTTAAGTTCATGAACTAACTGAATTACATCTTTGAAGGTCTTAGGAGGAAGAATTTCCAAAACACTGATTGCCTTCCTAGCTTGATTATTGTGCATGTTAAACTGCGTGAATCAGATGCAGACTCCAAATATCTCAAGCTAAAGGATGCTCACTAACTTCTCTTTGCTTATTTTGTAACCATGGGCAAAATTTGAGAGCGTGCCTGCTCTTATTTAGTCCCAGATCTTTATTTAGCCCAGCAGTAGAAACTACAAATTAGATGCTGGACTACATTCATCTTTCTAAGACATGGATACACACCCACTTTGCACTAAGGTTAATAAATAATATGACATACTCTCTGGCAGTTTACATCTTCACTTATGTCACTGCTGACTTTTGTCCAGAAGTTCATATGGAAGTGGTACATATTTTTCTGAAACTTCTGGCTCTGTTTTAACTCATGATTGTCCTTTGCTGATGACACCAATGCTTGCCTTGATTTTCCACAAGATGCTTTAAAATAAACATGCCAGCACCGGTTTTCAGTTCAGTAAACTGAACTGTGAGAACTGGCAATAAAACAGTGACTGAGACCAACTCATCCATCATGACATTTAGAAACATCTTGAACTACATTGGTACAGTTTTAAAAGATCCTGACAAAATATCAGCAGTTAGCAACCAAATGCTTTCATGCTGTTTTCTACCAAAGCACAGAGATCTGTAGGAGCAACATAATCATGACACTCAATTAACGAAATAAAAAATATAAATGTTCATAGTTACCCAGTTTTGGAAGAGAGTAGTTCAAATTAAAGTACTCTTCAAAGAAGTCGAATACAGTTTTTGTTACATTTGCTGCATATTCTGCCGTGTGTATTTGCTGTGGCTGGGCGTAAACTCTCAGCTGTAAAATACAGAGAGACAATTAGAAAAGTTTTCAGTTAAGAGGAATCAGGTGTCTAACACTGAAAAGGCATTGAGCATACATATCAAAAACACTGCAGGTTTTCTCTGAGACTGGTCTGAACATTGAATTCTGTTCCCTATCACATTTATTCAACAAAGGTTTTCAAGTGTGTACATAAGAGATACCAAGCGAGTATGTGCACATTTTCCACTGTCTGTCTGAATTTTAAAACTGGCAAGACCCATGTCCAGAAGCTCACAGTGGCCAAGCTTCAAGCAGGGCCTGGTTACATACCAGCCCCTACTTCTCCACAGCCTGGTGTTCCAAGGAGGAAACCTGGGCAAGCACAAAGGAGATCCACTTGTTCTGAGCAGTTCACTGATCTTGACTGATCCCATCAGATCAATCTTCAGGAGCACATCTCTATTGAAATGTGTCAGAAGCCTATAGCACCTTATTTTATTCACCTTCTTTGTACCGTTCCTGTGTACTGTCATCATGGTTTCCTCTTGTGCTTGCGTGTCTGAAGACCTCAACCCACTGACGACCATGCATTTACTAGATCTGTGACCAGACATGCTGTCCCATGCAGGTTGAGTGGCTGTTTGAGAAGGACCTTGAGCCACATAGCCACAGCTTTGGTGCCTTCTGGGCTGCTGCACCCCAGGAAATCATAAACAAAAATCAGTTCTCTCTTTTATGACCAGGGACTCTGGGAAAACTGGCATGTTTGGTAGCCCTGGCATGTTTGGTGTGATGAGTGACCATTTCTGTGCTCCTCCTGTATACACGAATGCAAAAAATGATGTGTTGAATATTGTCCTTTCTATCCCTGAAACCTGATGCCTGGTACCCATTTGGCTATGGCTGTCAAGGAGTAGGAAACAAGCTCTGGAGAACTAGAAACTTTATGGCACCCATGCCTATTATGAGGAGGCTTGTAACTGGAAAAAACCTTTTGAGAAGTTATCTTCACATTGTGAAGGCAAAATTTGAGTTCAGAATTACAGGAGCCTTTTGGGGATCTTTTCCTCAGTCTCTCTGTCTTAAAACCTGTTGGAGCTGTATGTAGTCTGTTCTCTTCCCCACCCGTGAAGATCTCCAGTGTGGATGAGATATTTCAATATGCAGTGAAGTTTCTGGTTTTAGGAAAACTGATCTATCTCATTTTGCCAGCTCCATGACTCTTATGAATGGGACACATTCATCTGCTGCACTGGTGTGGCTTGTTTACTCTTTCAGCGCTGTCTTACAGCCAGGGATTTAGGGGCCAAGCTGAGCAAAGAAGCTGGTCTATTCCAGGAACTCTTCTGGAGCCTGAAAACACATTGATTTCAATACTATAAATTACACTTCCTCCAATGAGAGGGGAGGATGGGAAAGTGTTCAGAATTAAAGCTGGAACAAAAACAAAAGAAAACAAAAAACCCCAAAAAACTAGAAAAAAAACCCCAAACAAAACTAAAACAAAACGAAAAAAAAGCTTATGAAATTCAATCAGGAATACATTCCAGCCAGGGGATTTCCCCCTGGGTCAGTTTGCAATTACTATCTGCAATTTCCACTTCTGTAAGCTCTTTACCCAATTTAGCAGTCTTCAGTCCCCTAGCTGATCCATATTAATGGTTTCCAAAACATTCAGCCTGCACTAGAACTGACTTTGGATTTCATTTGTATAATCTCCTCTGTGATTTTTCCAAACCAGACATTTAGTACCTGACAGGTAATCAGTTCAGGAGCATTGTTTCCAGCTGTGGGCACATTTCCCACCACTCATTTCATTAATGTCTTCATTAGGGCTTTCAGAGTGAACGGCAGAGTTTTTAAATAATTTACTGTGTCATGTGAGCTGTATGCTCTTGCTGTTGTTTATGAAAGTAATTTATGGATCAAGTGGATACTTTCTGTTGAATGACAGATTTATTGTTAGAAATTTACACAGCAAACTATGGAATGTTCTTTTCAGGGGTTGGTGAATCTAAATACCTTTGTTCAGCTGGGCTTCAAAGTTCTTGGACAGGAAGCCTTGGAAAGGTTATAAGAATAACTTTCTATATATATGATTAGAAACCCTAAAGATAGTCTGGTTTTCCTGGGGATAATTTTTAGTGATTGATCTTCCACATGTATTTTATATTTGTAAAACTATGTCCATGTTAAGAGAAAAGAAAGTTATTATTTTAACCTCACTTAAACCCCAAGTTTTCTAGTGCAGGCAAGTCCTCAGACATTGTTTAGTGAACGACATTAATAAAATATGTAGTAACATAGGCCTAAATTAGAAGATGTTTCTTCAGGCAACCCCTGTACTGACACGAATACCCTTGCATCTACACACATGCACTTTAATTACCCTGTTTCAGTGAACACTCCCTTCCATTTAGAAAAGCTACAACCAGTCAGGAATATTGTGGGCTGTACTGTTTTGCTTGGGGGAAAAAAAAAAGCAGTGACCTCAGGGCCATATTCTGGAGCATGGCATGGACAAGTAGTAAATGTTTAACTTCTGCATGTAGAAAACAGTGTTACACACTTCTTCAGTACTTTTTTTCCCTACTGCACTATATTCTGCACAAAAAATCTAGAAAAAAATTTATTTTTAAAGGAACAGAGCTATAGAGTATATCTAGTGAGACCGAGTAGTCAAGGTGCTGTCCCTGATAATGACCGGACCAGCTATGCTGAAGAGCAGTTGGTTAACAAAATTGTGTGACTGGGTGGCCTAAAAATGTGCTCCTGTGAATAACTTAGCCAAACAGCAGAGAACTAAGAATATTTTGTCTGTATCTCAAACCAGGCTCCATTTGCTTGTCTGTGTAATTTAGCTTCAGTTATTTGTCAAGTAAGAATATAAGCATACAGCATGACGCTAGCAGGGGCACAGAGGGAGGCCTCAGCACAGTCCTGTGACAGGAAGCCTTTCTGAGCTAAGAGCTCAGAGCTGAATCAGAACTTTGGAGATTTCTACAGAACAGATTTTAACATCAGTGAACAGCTTTCAGTAGAGAATGATTTGATGATCTTTTTTGGTTAAAGCAACTAAGGAAGAGCTAACTTGCTCATGGAACAGTAGAATGATTGGGGTTTTATTCTAGATTCCCTGTCCATTTGTGACATTTTCTCCAGAAACTGAGGAAACCACTGCCAGCTCATGTGAATAACAAGACCCTGTGTTACATAACAGGAAAGGAAGGGGAAGAAGCAGGGGCATACAGCTCTAGGGATCACTCTCTGTATCAGATGAGAACAAGATCTAAACCAATAAACAATTAACAGCAGGCTGAGTATCCCAAACTGGGTTTAGGCTAAATGAGGAGTTTCTGCTGAGGGGCAAGTTGTATTTTGGATTTCAGTTTGTGATTCAATGCAATGTCATGTGATCTCTTTATGCCTGATCAGCTACACCTTCAGGAGATTTGAATCTAAGCAAGAAATGGATTGGCCTGCCTACAGCATCTAAATGAAGGAGCTATTTTAATTTAATAGGTTCAGATTCAAACCTATTTGCTTCATTAGGGGATCAACCAAATATCCACCTGTTTAGGCAGACACTATCACTTCTATACTTATTTTTACAGAACTTACATTGCCCAATTGCTGCTGTGGCACTGTGGCACATTGCCTGTTGCCACTGTGGTAAAATAAAGCAAGCCAGTACTACATAGCACTGTAGTCCTATGTCTCAACAGCTGTAATAATATCAAATGCAATTTTAACTCACAGAAAATTATAAAGTATTTGTATTCATGGCCTGGGAGTCTCCTGTACCCCCTAACTTGTACATTCCTTCAGGCAAGTCAGGGATGAGCTGGAGAGAGTGTTCCTTCCTCACCTGTGTGCTCATATGGGAGGCAGTAACTGGGATCTCACAAAGATGGGAGACAGGGAAGGACTACAAAACACTGTATGTAGTCCAGGTCAGAGGGACCACTATGAACACATAATCTGATAAAATAGGCTGCATAAAATAAGCTACAGGAAAAGGAAAAACATGTCCTTGTTTGTATAAAAAGAGATTTTAAAGAAAAAATGCAAATGAAGGCACATCTGTCACCTGAGCCACATTCAGGCTGCAGAAGGACTTACAGGTTTTCCACTTGCAGATGTCCTCTCTACCCAGGTAAACTGGTGCACTGCAAAGCATACCAAGTAAGTGCTCATGGGGACTGACTTCTTAAAAGTTGTTCGATTCCAGCCATCACCAACTGGTACAGTTTGCTGCAGAAATGCAAAAATAATCAAATTGATTTTTGAAATTGCAAACACATGCATAAGAGTACATTTGTATGAAGACTGCAACTGGATAGGAGCAACAAATCACCTCTCCAGGTCTACCTCTTCTGGCATTTCATTGCTGAAGGCATGAGAACAGACAAAGTATTTTTCTTCTGCAATACATGAAATGGTACTTTGCTTTTTTGGCACTAAAGAGGTTTACTTTGCTTTAATTTTCATCAGGGATTTGAAATCATTCACATGAGCAGAAATTTCGCCAACAGGAGTTTTCTGGTGTATGCTGTGTTTTGTTCTTGCAATAGTTGCATACAATAACATCACTTTGGTTAGAGAAGGGAAGAGACTGAATTCTCCCCTCTCTTAATATATGCATCACGTATTTAAGTTATGATGCAAGGATGCTACCTGGGATATAGACCAGTCTAATGAATCCATCCTGAAGTAATTAGAATATAAATGAATGGTGGGTTAGGTTATTAGGTGGGTTGCCTAAATACACATAAAATTTAATGCTGATCATAGTTTTTATTTACCAAATCAATTTTAAAATTTCCTGATTTTCTTAGATTGTATTTCCTCTAAGTTTGCTGAAAATACTCAATAGGAAGGGGTAGACACTGATCTCTTCTTTCCCATGACCAGTGACAGAACTCAAGGAAATGGCATGAAGTTGAGCCAGGGGAGGTTTAGGTTTGATTTTAGGAAAAGGTTTTTCACCCAGAGGGTGAAAACTGGAACAGGGTCCCCAGGAAAGTTGCCACAACATCAAACCTGACAAAGTTCCAGAGGCATTTGAACAATGCTCTTAGGGACATGGTGCCACTCTTGGGGTGTCCTGTACAGGGCCAGGAGTTGGATTTGATGATCTTGATGGATCCCTTTCAACTCAGCTTATTCTATGATTCTATTCTAAACATATATTTCTTTTATTCCTTTTCTGCTATAGTCTGAAAATTTTTGTGCTTCTGACTGGATGACTATATAATAGAGCAAAAGCCAAAAGCATATAAAAGATGTTAGCCTTCTAGAGATACAGTGGTTCATGAGATTTGTTTGTTATAAACACAATATAAATAAAGCACAGACAATTAATATTACATGTAATATGACTTCATGAACAAAACCCCATATTCACAGACATATTCATAACCCCTTTTCAAAAAGGTATTCATAATCTAATTTTCCATTATTTTAACCATTTTACTCTATTTTGAGATCTTCTGTGATTTCAACAAAGTCAGGGCTTTAGTGGAAAAAAATTTGAAGAAATTATAGTGAAAAATGCAAATGAAATGTACAAGATTCTGATTTTGCTGATCTGATTTTGCCATGCTGGTTATAAAGCTCCACACCCCCAAAATTACAGGACATGTAACATACAACATCTTGCCTTTACAAACTCTTACATTTCCATCTGTGGAAAAGATCTTTCCCAAAGTTCTTCCACTACTAAGACCAGAGGTACTGACCTTGACCAGATGAAAAAAGTGCCTTGCTATAATCCCTTAGTCAAACTTCAGTATGAATTCAGCATAATCTACATTTTCTTATCAGTTTTTTTTTTTTAGCAAATCAATTAAGAAGCAGTAGTTAGCCCTTTGCACACTTATTATTGTAGATCCATAACAGAGACAAGGTCCACATGTCAAGGTGTAAAGTAAATCTCAAAACACAATAAATCTTAATAACATATGGTGTTATCACCTTACTTCCTTGCTCATATTCTCACTTATCTGAGGAAAGGCACAGCAATCTCCTTTCATGTGTTGTTCATCAAAGTGCCTGGTGGTCTTCTAGGTATCACAGAAATATTTTCAATAACAATGGGTCAGAGCTTTAAATGTGCAAAGGGTATGGATGCATCTGTATGAGCCTGGTAATAGATATCTCAGCTGCATTGCTAAGAGAATAAGTTTGGGGCACTCTAAATAAAAGCAGACCTTTATTTTCTGGGTGGGGGAGTGATTGGAAAAAATGCAAATGCCAACAGTCTGGAGGCTGGAAGCTCTTTTCTTTTTTTTTTTTTTTAACTTGGCACTTTATCTCCCACTTCAGAACTTGTTAGTAGAAATTATACAATAGACTACACATTCAGTTGACTATTCAGTAGAAACCCTCTCATCTGAAAGCCATTCAGCCTTCTTCCAGAAGGCCCAGAGGTAGATAATTGATGCCATTGAATTTCATGCAAAATTTGGAATTTGACAGTAGGTCTAGAAATGGATTATTTAGGAAATTATAGACATGGTGGAATGACAAATATCCACACCCGTGAGCTGACAGATGCGGTTTCAGATCCTCATTATTAAAAAGATTAATCCTAGTCTTTCTGGCTAGCAGGATTCTTCACCATTATATTGTGATCAGCAGACCCTTGTTCTGGACCATTATGCAGTTTTAGTGATTATTTTAGACTTTCCATGTGGGAAGCAGCTGTCTTGCAGAGTACTCATTCTCTGAGCCTACCCAGTTTGACAGAAGAACCTGCCAATATCTACTTATAGTCAGCAGGGGATGCTCACCTAGAATATCCAGCTGAGGGTCAGCTGGATAACAACAGAATAGGTGTTCCATTTTTGCTTTGGATTTGATTCTGTGCTGCCATGTTGTGTGCTGATGGACCACTTTGAGTCCTAACCAGCCAACCAGTTCTGTTCATGGAATGTCTATTAAGCGTGAGTTTTCCAGTGCCTGAGTGGTAGAGTCTGTGAACATGCCAGAACCTGGCGACCCACATTACCTTCCAGTGTCTCTACAGAACTGCTGCACTTAGGCAGCAGTTGGGAAATACTTACCTCTACTGGCATGTTTGAAAGTGCTTGGTACACATCTGGATGGATGATGGATATGGTGTAGGTTGCCTTTTTGTTTGGCTCGTCAAAGCAGGGAAATGATTTCCGCGCATCTGTTGGCTCATGATCAGTAGCTGCAATGCTCCTGAAACAAACAACACATTGGCAAGGCTTCATTATATGGCTTTGAAATCTTGTCCGCAATTTCTAGGCATTTTTTTAATGATTTCACAAATGAAATCCAACTACAAATATTTGTGCATATTTATCCATTCATAAAAGCAGGTGACATCAAAAATGCAGGAGCTGACATCCACATCTGTCTGTCATCAACATCTTCAAGGTTTCAGAGCAAAAGCTAATGCAAATTGCTTATCATCAAATATTTTTAGGAGCCAGGCAATAAGAGAGGCATGACCTCTCATGCATAGTGAAAACTTTGCTCTCCCTCCTGCTGAGCTTTACCATTGATTTATCACCTAAAATAAAGAACTGATGATATCACCTAAAAGGAATAAGTTACTCCAAGACTTGTTTACCCACTACAGCATATCTTGGGATTAGGGTCTTGAACATCTCCTGAAGCGACACCTTGAAACTGTGCAAATGCCAATAAATCTCATCCTGTTTGTGTGTTTCTTTTCCTGCATTTACCACATACAGTTTCCTCCTCTGCTCCTATGCTCCCCTGACTCCATTAGTGAAACTGCTGGAGAAAGCATGGAAAATTCAGGTGAACATCCTAGTACATAACTGATGCTATGCAAGCTATTTTGGGGGGGTCAGAAAGTCATCTCAGTTATGCACAACCAGCTGGAGGAGCTAGACAATAGGGGTCATGTAAAAACATGAGGTGAATGTTGTGAGCGTTCATATTGTGCTTGCTTCTCCCAGTGACATTGGGCTCCCCTATTAATGACCCACACCAGGGGCAGAGCATATTCTCCGGTGATTGATGGTGAAAGGGATCACAGATGCTCCTTCAATTAATCTGGAATGTTGAGCATTTTCTGACAGCACTTCTACAGCTGCTCCAACTATATTAAGGTAGTTTTTCTTTCAAAAAAGTAATTAAAAGTGTACATCATAAATTACAGATTGCAGCAATCCTACAAGCTCACTTGACAACCAATTTTTCAAGGTTTCTGTTGCCCTTGGCATTTCCCTGTGATGGTTAAATACTAAACTGGTCATTAGGAACTTGTAGCAGCAAGGGTCATTTACAAACCTGACAGAGGTAATATGTCTGGGCTCTCTCCATTCATGTTCCTTGGAACAGTAGCTCAAAGGTTCATGGGCAGAAAGCATAATGAACATTCACTTTAACATAATTTCAGACTCAACAGAGTTTCTTTTGCTTGGTGCATTCTTTGCTGTCACTCTCTACTTTTTGTAGGATTTGAGAGCTATTTCACAATTAAGTTAACTCCAAGCCTCCAGGGCAATGCTTCACAGCTATTGGTTAAAACTTGGCTATATATTTTGACACATTTATGTCTTGTTCCTACAGACTGATAACACTGTGATACATCTGTTGATAAGGTGATAATCCATCTATCCTCATATGTTTGCAGAGGCAGACAGACATTAGGAGTGAAAAACTTCAGCACTACCCTTCCTATGGGTTAGATGATGAGAACACCTGACTATGGCATGCACAGAAGTGGCCATAGAAACATGAAATGTTGTAATTCACTTTCAAACAACATAATGTAGTTTTTAGATAAGATTTTCTTCACTGCTTGGTGGCTTCTGCTCTTGATGTCCAGACCTTTAAGTATGAACTAGAGTCGACAGTTGTAAACATCATAATAATAAGAAGTGAAGATCTGGCTGAGACTGCATCTAGCTGTTCTCAAAATAAAACAGTGATGCATTTAGAACCATGAGGAGTTTTCCTTCCCCTCCCTCCGAAGTACAAGTCATTAGTGTCAAACAACTTCCTTCCTCCCTGAACTAATTAAAGCATCTTTCTCCTAGTCTTCCTTAAAATTCCAACTCATTCCTACTTCTGAGAAAACTTTCTGCTTCAGGAAGAAAATCAGAAGTTTTACTTTTGTAAACAGAAGAAAATTCTTCCCTTGTCTATTGAATAAAATCCTAAATACATCCCTGTTAGACAGGGGCGAGCCTCTTGTTCTCTCACAGAAAAGCGAGGGAATTCCTAAAACCAGGAAGCCATACCTTGTCTCTAATAGTAGTGCAAAAGCAAAGCCAGCTGCTGTGACATGTTTGTATTATTTTTAATACAAGGGGGCTTTAGCACATTAATTGAGAGAAGCTAATGACCTGAAAAACCCAGTACACCAACCAAGGACTCTTCTTTTGCTCCTCTCCATAAGATCTGAAAACAGCACAAGTGTTGTAATTATGCTCAGTGCATCATGCAAAGTAGGGAGGACTGCTATTCCTTTTGCATCAATGGGGAAATGAAATGAGCAGACAGAGGAACAGTTTTACCAAAGGACTTAAGTGCTTACAGCTAGATTTGGGAACCCACAGAAGCATCTAGGCAAGTCTATGTCCAAAATCTACATTTCCAAAGTTTCTGCTTTCCTGTTCCCTATCTGCAGGTGCACATCAATTTAAATAGTCACAATTCCAAGGTATCTCACAATCTGCTTCAAGGCATATCCAAAAGCACCTTTTTCCTGATGGGGATTGTATGATCTGTCTGAACAGGATCCCCAAATAAGGTGCTCTTCTCCCTAAGCCCCTCAAGGAATCTAAGCAACATAGATTATTGAATCTATTTGGATATTTGAATCTAAGCAACAGTAGAGCCTGGACACATGCCCAGTTTGTAAACCAAAGGCCTTATAGCAATGCTTGGCAAACCTTTGCCTTCACAGATAAACATCTGGGGAACAGGTTAGCCCTAGAAGCTGACTTTCAGTGTTATTAAGTCTCTCTAAAGGTGCTGCTGCTTCTAACACTGCACAGAAGGGATAATAGAGTTGGTTAATTATATATTGGATCTCCTTCTCGCCTCAGCCCCCTTCTCTTTAACATCCACTATTAACAGACTTGTTTGATCATTGCTGTTACCTGATCTGATTTGTATTTACTTGCAACACGACAACAACAGAACTACTTGAGTTGAAATTTTCCAAGAGTGGTATGTACCTCAGGCAAAGGCAAAATAAAAATGCTCATTCCAGTCAGCATTGTTTTTAAGTAGAAAGCTGGGAGAAAATGCGTTTTTAATAAGTAATAAAACCCTTCCCTCACTGTCCTTCCTTACCACATCCTATCCCCTACCCTCTGCTGCATAGCAACAACTTGGCTGTTGGTTGCCTTACTTTCAAAGCTATACTTACCACTATCGTGTACATCACCTCTGCAATCTGCCCAAAGTCAATCACATGAAAAATATTTCAGAATTTACTTTTCACTTGTTCTTACTAAAGCCCTTCTCAAACCTAACACACTCACACCCACAAGCTCCTTTTTGCATTGAGTTTTCAGACTGCTGGCTAGCATCATCCTTGTAATTGTAGTTTCCAGCATTCAATTCAAGAAGTAGGAACAGTCAAAGTGAGCTCACATTTTATACTTTCTTTAGTTTTAGAGTTCTCCTTTCTTCCTGGTATCAGATGCTTGGCCCTTGTCTACCTGTACTGTCTGGATTTGAGGGACAGGCACTCACCTCTCCTGCTCTGCAACTCAGAAGACCTGTGTTCTGGTCCTCCTGTTCTGGGGTTGTGACAGACCTGGGGCTATACATTTAATATCTAGATATACTTCACCAGTGAAAAGTAACACACCTCAACGTAGAAGGATTCTAGGACTTTGCACTTTAAAACTGCTGTAGATGTCAGATGCTCAAAGTATGAAACCAAAGCACCTTTTAAATCAGAGCAATGCTGAGGTCATATATGGAGGAAACAAGAGGAAAAGAGCTGTCTGGTGTTCAAGCTGTTCCCTGCATGACTTCTCCACGGGAAAAAATCAGTGCTTGCTTTATCCTCTACTCTTGGATCCGCTACTGCTGGTGCCTGTCACTGCTGGTACTCCTGTCAGTGGCTGAATGGAGCTGACAAGACTCTTACTCACGACACCATTGTCCCAGGAGGGCAAAGAAATGCCATGAACACATCAGTGTTTGTCTCCATGTTCCTGCTACAGGGCCTCGTAAGTGTCTAGCCAAGTTTATCTACCAGCTGTAAAGGACAGTTACCTATTTTCTGATATTTACATTTCTGAAGTGATAAATCACTTCAGAAATGTAAATATCAGAAAATAGGTAACTGTCCTCTCCATACATTAACTGTGAAGAGCAGCCTTTGAGCAGAGGGCAATGGCTTTTTCAAGCTTCCACCTTGAAGCAGTACAAACCTGGTAAGTGGAATGGGTTAGCTGAACTGGTAGAGACTTTGTAATCATTCAATAACTGTTGATATACTCACAAGAAAGAGATGGAGCACCAAAAAAAGAGTAAAAGGTGATCCTAATTGTTTAGGCTTTCCTACATATAATTTAAACCAGCTACAAGGGAGACAGGGAAGTTTGGGTTTGAATATTCCTCAGGCTTACAGCATCAAGGAGGTATGCTATCAGGAAAACTATCAGAAGAACATTTTACACCAAAACTGCTACCTTGAGGATAACAGGAGAGAACGGTGATAGTTGTATGCTATTTATTGTACTAGAGAGATAAAAACAGGCCTTGATCCCTCCAGCCCCTTGAGGGAGCCATTCAGTTCAAAGGTAAGCTTGGACCAGTAGAGTTTGAAAAGGTTTTTCAGAATATTAATTATAACAAACCCCTCATCTCTCCAGCCCACATTCACTAGTCAGAAGCCAAAGGGCTTTGAATACAGCATCCTCCTTAGGGGAATGAGAAAACTAAAGAACAGCCCAGAAACGTCAGTAAGTTGGTGAGAGACAAGACTGAAAAGCTGAAACAGGAATACAGCAGGCCTGAGCAAGTAAAAATAGAGAAGAAAGCTTAATAAATAAAACTGCTTTACTTGATCTGTCCATTCTCAGTATAGGTGGTCCTATAAAACCCAACCAGCGAACCATTCAGCCAGCCTTGAAACTTCAGCGTGAGCACATAGGGATCATTTTCACCAGTAACAGGGAGCTCTGCTGCTGCCTTCATCACAATGTATTCTTGTGGCTTGTACTCAAAGCAGTCATTCAGAGCAATCTGCTGTCCTGAGGATTTCCAGAGTGTGGGTATTTCTGTAACCTTGGTGTCTCGCAGGTGAAGCCACAGGGAGCTGGTTGGTTTTTCCAAAACTATAGATATACTGACTGTCCCACTGTAAGTGTCTTGCTCCATTTCAGGCTTGATTTCCAGATCATAGTGGACAGGCTTGACATAAGTGGGCAGCCTAAACTCTGTCCAGTCTCCAGTGTCATCATTCTTGGAAGGACAGGGACCCAAATCCACTGGGGGAGGAGGCTGTTCCGTTGTTGTCGTTGTTGTCGTTGATGTTGTTGTTGTCGTTGTTGTAGTTGTTGTCGTCTGATCTGGTGTTGGTTGTTGCTCTGTTGCCTCTGAAGCTTTAGGTCTGCTCAATCCCACACCAAGCCCCACAGCAAGTCCTACAACAACCACGACTCCACAGATGATAGCCACATGCTTTTTCTTCATGCAGTACTTCTTGGACTTCTCATCCTCAAAATCCATGCCCTCCATCTCTGCTCCTAGATCTGTTCTCAGAGCAAAACATTAACCACAAAAAAGCTTATTAGTCACTTCAGCACTTGCATTCAGTAAACTCAGCAGCCTTGGTTTGTATTTTAATTGTGTAGCTATAGCTGTTCTCTGCCTGTCTCCCTCACCTCGCTCTCCAGAAGACACTCAATTAATTAAAGACAACATGCATTTGGAGGAAATGTGAATGATCAAAGCGCAGCTGGGCTGGGAGACGGAGGGAACTGACACAGAAGAACATTGTTTCTGCCGTGCTCCCCTTATAAGCAGCACAACCCCACCCCCAGCCCCTCCTGTTCTGGCCTGAGTTAAATATAAAACAGTGCTATGTTAATCAGCAGTCAGGAGATGATCAGATGCCAAAGCTCTGTCAGCAGCTTTCAGAAAGAGTTTGCAGATGGAGGCAAACCCTCAACCTTCACCACTACCTCTTCCTTTTTTTCCTGTGCTGTGTCTTGTTTAGGTTTTTGAGATTTGGGCTGGCTTATTTTTCTTCCTCTTACTAACAAAGATTTCCTTGAATTTCCACCCTATAGTTTGTGAAATGACATCTCAAAACTTGCAAAAATCACATATATCTTTCAGCTGCTTCCCCTCTTTTCTGGGCTCATTTACCTTTGCCGAGTAACTCAAGGCAGTCACAGACAGATGAATGCACAGTGGAACAATAAATTTTGATCACTGCTTCAAACTTTAAAAGTTGTCTAACTCCTCTCCCCCTCACAGGGCCACTTTTCCAGGAGATTGACCATAACCATGCATGCAAGCTGGTAGCCTGGGACAGCATTGCTTTGTCAGTCAGCACAATTACATTGCTGCCTGTGAATCCTTGCTGTGAGGGACACTTCTAAGCATGATTTATGCACTAAAGATCTAATTTACCATTTATTGCTTGTCATCACAATGTGACACTTCATTGAAGCAAATTAATTGAATAGAGCCTGATTCTGCTTGAGGGAACCTTTTGTAAGGCTTTGGTAAGCCTGTAAGCAAGATGTTGCTAATGCAGTATGAAACTGAGCACAGTGGTAGTCTTGACCTTGTTTGAAACTGGACTAAAGGAAAATAGTGTAGAATAAAAATGCCAGTCTCTGCATCTCTTAGCCCTATTTCTCCACTTATGTAGTCCACTTGAGTAGATTTTTTAATCAGGCACATCAGTTTGGCTTTATGCCTCCTGATTTAGTTCATTAGGAGACATAATATTAGGATTATTATCACTTTTATTAATATTAGGATTCTTTCATTAATATTAGGATTATTAGAATAGGATTTTATTAATATTAGGATTATTATCATATTAGAATTATTATCACTTTTTACATCAGTTACAACTCTCTGACTACTTAGACTTCCCTTCCCTTCCCTTCCCTTCCCTTCGAATCAGTTAACACATGCTTCAAGTGAGATGCACTAAGCTGGGGAATTTCACCCAGTCTGTTCAGAAATTGATCTGTTCATAAGCCACACTTCTAAATACTGACCATCACCACAGGGAACTTTAGCCCCCCACTTTGCATCAGCACACTGCTATTTATATATCATCTTGTTTCAAAGGCAAGGGTTTCCTACAGAAGCAGAGAAATAAAATGGTTTGGTTTTTTTTTTTTTTTGTTTGGTTGCGTTTTTTTTGGTTTTTTGGGTTTTTTCAGATCATCACATTAACTCTTATGTATTTTCAAAAGTGAGAGACTGATGCAAAAAAAAAATGAAGCAGAAAGCTAAAATCTGTTTCACATTATGCCTGTTTTTATTGTTTCCCATTTCTTTGCTGTGATCAAAACTAGATATGACATGGGAAACCAATGCCCTTTAATGGATTGAGTAAGAATTCAGCTTTTAGCAGCAGGGCCAGCACTGAAGATCATAGTCTTAACATTTAAAACCATTTCTTTCTTTTCTTTTGTTCTGATTGGGCAGGGCAAGGAAAAAGAGTTACAACAGATTTTAAAGAAGACATCTTTAGACAGAGCAGGCCATATGAGATAAGAAAACAAATTGTCTTAATTTCTGCATGGCTTTTACATCACTCCCGTTTTTATTTTCCTAAGTCATGAGCTTTCCTGTTAAATTTTTAACTTGAAGATGAAAAATGCTGTTTGAGCTTACAGACTGCAGAGCAAGTTATTTACTGTAGTTTTTGAAGACACTTGAAGATTTCTTCACTGGTAACAATTACCTCTTTCAGGAAGAGCTAGAAAACAAATGTGGATGAGCTAGTCCAAAACAGCAACTATGTATGTATTTCTTATCCTAAGCCTTGAAGATAACATTCGTACTGAAGTCCATTACAAGCTGTCAGTCAGGAGCAGTAGTGTAGTTATACACAAGTTGTAGCATTGATCTTCTCATTGGAATAACTGAGATTCCAACCTGGTTGCAGCCAAAACTAGATGTATTTCTGGGATGGGTAGCTATGAGCAGGCTAAGTCCTCCCACATCTGAAACATGCTGTGTTACTGACACTCCTGCAGCCAGCCAGCAGTGCTGCAAGCTCCCTGCTGCCAGTGACCCAATACACATGGCCAAGGACAAACAGGGCCCAAAGTGTTAATTACTCTGCACAGTGGAGGAATTCCTCCTCCTCCAATGCAGGAGGGCAGGGCTCCCAAAAACACTGCTAAGCATTCCCCCTGTTTGGCTGTCTCCAGGCCGAAGGGGGCAGGGAACAAGATCTACCTCCCCAGAAAGGAGAACACAGTGGCCATCATGGGCAAGGTTAGATACTTTGTTTACCCTCTCCCCACCTGCATAAAATGCTGGATACCCATCTGAAAAGTCAAGGAAGGCTTCCTCCGAACTGCTCCAACACAAGCTACAAGCACGACTGTAGACACGTGTTGGCCAAGTCTGGATTGCTTAGATTGCTTTAGTTTAACTTCTAGAAATGAGATTTAAACAATCTTTGCAGTCACCTGAGCAGTGCTAACACCTGTCATAATTTGTTTGGTCTTGATTTTTTTATCCAATCAATTTCACTTCAAGCTAGGATTTAGTTCCCAGTTTACACCAGAATTACCACAACTAGCTTAATGCTGCCCCTTTGGATACCTAAAATGTAGGGGGTACAGAATCACAATGCTCTGCCATGACATTGCTGTGTGAACATGTAGATTCTTGTAGGAACAATACCCAGATAACTTTTCAGACAACTACCAGGAATGTAATGAATCCTAATTTTTATCCACAAATTGTCAGCCATTCATTTCCAATGCAATTTCCAATTTTAAGTGTGGAAAGTAGAATAAAATTGCTGCAAGTGACAGCCGGGATCAACACTAGGAAAGGTCTGCTCCAGGCCCTCAGGGAGATGTCAGATACTCCCAGGATATCCTTAATTGAAGCTGACAATGAGAAAAGAGCTGCTCTGGAAAGCATCAAAGACATGAAAATAAATGAAAATATATTAAAAAAAAAAAAGGGGAAAAACTCCTCTGCAATTCACAACAAATGAAACTCCTCTGAGCCAAGTCATCCTTGGAATAATATCAAACACTTACTGGGCCAATGCCAAGGAGCTCTTTTTCTCCCTGTGTCTAGGGACTTAAAGGCAACAGGAGGGCAGCAGAGTCTAAGGACCTCTGATTCCCATCTGCTCTCTGAGGTGCCCTCACTGCAAGATTTTGGAATAATAAATGGATCCTTTCTGTCTCCAGCAGGAGGAATTTGTCTCTCTTTATGCTAAAATAACACTCCTTCGATTTTTCATTGCAAAATAAGAAGACAAGGCAATCTGCTGTTGTGACTGCTTTCTGGCACAGCTGCATTTGTAGATTTCTCCCCTGTGGCCCCCTACCAAAAAAATCTTTAGGAAATTAATTTCAGAAATATGAATCTGGTTAGAGTGTTGTTCCACCAGGTCAGAAACAAATATTGTCAGAAATTATTCCCTTGTCCAGTGTTTTCCTGTGTCTGTAATTACTGATTTTGTCTCTATCTTTTGGCTTTGAATCCTCTAGCAATCATTAATCCCCTAGAGTTCACAAGTCTTTGTAATTACTGGCTTGCAGTGATACTTGTTCCACTCACAATCTTTTCTATGACAGTTTTTAACTCCAAAACAAGTTCTTTTGGCTTGCTGTTGTTTCAAAGTGCAAATGTTTTGAACTGACTTGAGAAATAATTGTTTTCCCATTCAGATCTTTAAAATCTGGACTCAGTTTGTGGGATGCTGCTAGATGCAGTGCCCTGGGAGGACAGCATTATTTCCTGCTGCAGACTGACAAGTTCTGTCTGTAACACACCAGATGAAGTGCAGTGCAGCCCCACAGTTTTTCTGGGTTCTGCAGTATTCCCCCAGCAGGTCAGTGCTAGAAGTATTTATCACTAGGGTTGAGGCTGGGGGAGTTACCTCAAAGCTTGTTCTCAGTGAAGTACTCTGAGTTATCATTAGCAGAGGCTTTGTTTTCTTCCTCTATTTTTTTAATGTTTCGAGTTCCTGGATGTAGATTCTGTGCCTTGAAATGTGAATGCCATCTTTTATACTATTTACATAGTAAATAGTCAAACTGCATTCATTTGGTTTCCTCTATCATATCATGTTCATGAGAAGATATTATATCATGTATCTTACCAAATGAGCACTTACCATAAAATCATAGGATGGCTTGGGTTAGAAGAGACCTTAAGGATTAGTCCCAACCCTCTTGCCATGACCAGGGTCATTTTCCCTACATCAGGCTGCTCAAAGGCCCATCCAGCCTGGCCTTGAACACTCCTGGGGACAGGGTGTGTCTCACCAACCTCACAGTGAAGCATTCCTAGTATATAATCTCAACCTACCCTGCCAGTTTAAAGCCATTACCTCTTATCCTATCCCTACATGCCCTTTAAGAAGTTCCTCTGCAACTTAATCATGATGATATGGTTTGATGTGATATCTTATCATATTCTATCATATAACTTCATCTTCCACTGCATTGCTATCAAGATGAGATTCCTTGTGCTCCATTCTAATGGAGCCTTTAATACAAAACCAGAATAGTCTGGATGTGGTGAATACAGTTCCAACTTTCCAATTCTACCGTATTTTATTATTTTTACAAATTTTTACCCTTTTTCTTGTAACATTGGCCATTAGAACAGTTACAGGTTATGGCTATGCACTCTTCACCTTCTAATGTCTTTAAAACATTCCTGAGGAGACTGTATCAAAAAAAATATGATTTAACTCATACA